TGGAAGATGACAAAAATGAAAGCGAGAAAACATGATATAATTCCATGGCTTCGCCAGCTGCCCCTCCATCCCCTCACAATCAAGTCCTTTCAGGGTCCCTGGGTATGCTTGGAGTGCAACACCTAGCAGGTGCTCCTGGGATCAGCATAGGTTTGGCACCAACAGCTGCCAACCCATCTTCTGTCAGGGGGTCCCTTGGGGGCCTGGGTGGTCAGAGGGGCACGGGGCAGGGGGCGGAGATGCAGCATATCCTCCTGCAGAGAATTCCATGTGGTAGAGTAATTGTTCCCACCAAAGGAGGGCTGAGACCCTGTTCTTTCACCTCTATATCTTTGACACCAGGGAAGAGGTGCTTAATAGAATGAATGAATGAATGAATGAACTCCTACCATGTTAAGAATTATTACGGAAAAATGAGCAAGGCTGTGAGATCACAGAAGACGAAGAACTAGCACTTATAAAGTGGTTCAGGGTGGCCCAGGGCCACATCTCTCAGATGTCTAGCATCACCGCAGCTGATGAGACCAGAAGCTATGGATACCAGAGCTCTGGGGTTTGCCTCTCCTCCAGTAATTTATCTCTATAAATAGCAATGCTTGTTTACTATATCTTTAAATAATGTATGGTTGTCTAAAATCAAATTAGAAATTTGACATAAAAAAATAAAATACAATCCCCTGTCCTTCCTCCATCCGGAGATAACACTGTAAACAATTTGATGTCTCTTCCCATAAGTTTTGGTGTACATGCAAAAATATATGGTATGCACTAAAAAAAAAAAAAAAAAAAAAGTCTCAGGTGGAACATAATGTTTTGAAACCTCAGCGATATATTGTGAGTGTCTGTACACTCACAATGACAGAAAACCAACCCACATTGGCTGAGCCACAAAGGGAATTTATGGACTGGGTAACTGAAAAGGCAGGTGCTCAAATGCAGCCCTCAGCAATCCTTCCTGGAGGCTGGCCCTATTCTCCCGCAGATTCTTTCTGCAGTGGTCCCTGGTGCCTGCATCTCGGGGGAAAGAAGCCCCCTCTTTCCCACCAGTTCCAACAAGAACTGAGTCCCCTTGGCTCTGGGTGGCCCGTTGGGGCTTCACCCCTCTGGTTGGGGAAGGTGCTGCTCTCATCAGCAGGCTTTGTCTCAAGCACACCCCCCACTGTCAGTAGAGACCAAACACAGGGACTGAGTGGGAGAGGGAATGATTCCCCGAGGAAACGTGGGGTGAGTGATGACAAGGGAGGGGAAATGACAAATTCTCCTGTGATCCCTCTCCTGTCAAATAGACTTCACAACCCAGTTTCCGATGACGGCATACATCGTCCACTTAGGGGTGATGGAGGTTTATCTAACCAATCCCTACTATACATGTCTGGGTTACTTCCAAGTTGTTGGTGTTCTAAAGTTTGTTATTAGGGACATCCTGACGCATCAGCTTTGCCCAGCTCCTTCAAGAACGTTGGATTCTCCTAAGTCAGGGTTAAATGGTTATTGAGCTTTATAAACTAGACAATCTGAGGATGCTAGGCAAGATTGCAAAAGAAGCCATGCTTTCTTTTTGACTGTCCTAACTTCTGTCCCCTCACATCCTGGGACCCTGGCCTCTGGTTGTAGAGGATTCCCAGAGAGACCTACACCCTGAGCCCTGACTCAGGCTGGCCCAGACACAGGATCGCTTCTCCTACCTCTCCAAACACAGCTCACATTTGAAAAGTAGAGCCAATCTCACTTCAGACAAGAGCAGGATAAGTACGGAGATATGGTAAAATCCAAACGATGGTGTAGTTAACCCATCTGAAGTGTGCAATGTCTTTGAAGAGAGATTTTTCTTGAGTGGGGTGGGAAGTTTGACTATCCATTCTTATCTTCAGGCTTACCCTCCCTCACCCCACAACAGGATAACAAGTGACCGGTAACACGCCACCTTCTGAAAGGTGGCCTCCCCTTTTCTGTAGTTCGCCATCGGGCCAACATGGCAGCCACTGCTGGGATGGGAAACAGATGGTAGGAAAGCATGAGTTAAAATCTTGTTCCGGTGAAAACTTTTGCAAATCACTGGTAAAGATAACAAATGTTTGAAACTTTCTTGGTCAGTGGCAGGACAACAAATGATTGTGATACATATAGAACACTTCACGCTCTCACTTCTAGAGTGGGCTATTCCAACATCGAAACAGGAATTAGAAGATCAAGTCTAGAAGCCTCTAACACTGCCATCGCCACTGACAGATCCTTTAAAGGAGCTCATGCCCTTTTCTATGAACTGTTAAACAGTGGCATTCACTCAATCCACCTGCCAGGTTGCTTGGAGAATCGTATGAGCTAATGTATGTGCATACGTCAAGTAGTATATTTAAAACAGACATATTTGTCGTTATCCAGTCCTTTTAGGAAGAAAAATATTTTTATAAGCTCAATGTATGTGGAAATGTAGCAGAATCGTGCACTAAGAAAGCCATCTAGTATAATCAAAGTCGGAAAACTGTAGAATTTTACCTTTTTCCCCCCAGTAATGCCCTATAAGTGAAACGTTCATACTCTTTTCTCAGTGACAAGTTCAACTGTCAATAGATGAGTTCAGAACCCAAAGGATATGTTCAAACATATTCTTAACACTGCGATGTGTCTGGATTGCTCAATTTAGCCTCAGGAAATCAGAAAGAAATATTTATGTGTTAAAAACACTTTCTCAAGAAAAATTCCACAGGGGGCTCAAAGTTTTCTGACCTTTGACTCATTTCTTCAGCAGATATTCCTTTGTATCAGGTACCAGATCAGGTGCTGAGATTACAACATAAAATAGAACAGTGCTTACCCTCAAGTAGCCTCTAGTCTAATGGAAGAGATAAATGAACAAACACAGTCTAGTCTGAGTGCTTAATTAAATCAAGCTAACCCTGATCACATAGTAATTCTTCCAATCCGTGGGTGCCTGAGACCTGGGCCTGGGGCCTGGGGCCCGGACTCTAGAACACGGGGGGCCTCTCATCTGCTTGCAGACTTTTGCCCTGGGGGCTCTGCAGAGCAAAATTTTTACCTCCTTCAAGACGGAGGAAAACTACCCTATGAATTTCTGCATGAATGCAGCATGGCTGAAGGGATCCCTGTGCCCAGCCATTTCTAATATTATGACTCATTTCCAGAGTTTGGGTAAGAGAGTAGGGGGAAGTAGTTCTTGGGTTTCATACAGTTTTTTTTAAGGAGTCAAAGCCTATTGAAATCAACCTGATGTGAAGCAGGCAGTGGGCCAAGCCCCTCCCTAGCTCTGCCCATCCCCTTCCTCCTGACCCGTGAAGGCTGCCAGTCATTCTGAATCATGCAGCACGATTGCGGAACCCTGCTAATGGTACCAATGTGCAGCAGGCAGGGCTCTGGGAGATGAGACCTAACTTGTTTTTCTTTGTTCGTGAAGCCAAAGCTTCACATTCTGTTGTTCATGCAATTACGTATTTGTTGTTTGTTTGTTTGTTTGCAGTTCTGGGGGCTTATCTTTAGTATCAAGGGTACAGCTGGCCTGTAGGTCACCTTCATGTGAATACCCAAAAAAGCCCCCTTTGGACAGGTAATTCAAAGAGGCCCCCTCCATGCAGCCCCCTGGGGAAAAGGGTTTGGTGAGCGGAGCTCTGGTGGACCTCAGCCCCATCCACAGCTCCACGGCTTTGTGCAGTGTGCAAACTGCACAGCAGGACGGCAGGCTGCATAGTCCTGCATTCTGAGGATTTTATTTTGGTCTAGAGAGTACTGTAACTTCTGTGTTAAAACAATGCTGAATACTTAAAGGATCTCTTTATTGTGGGGTTAAAATTTTGTTCTTCTGTTTTTTTTCTTTATAAAATGCCAAAAGAAGTATGATTGACATTTTTAAAAACTTACAAAGTAAAAGCTGCCTTGCAAATCCTAATGTTGTTAACTCTGACTTCAAGTTCTGTTTCCCTTCTGTGATTTTTATTCCTAGGTTGTAAAGGATAAGTGTTCACATGTCTTTACCTCATTCTTCTTCCTCTTCCTGCCCCAGACCCCCAAATTCTTGGGACAAGGGATCAATTTTACAGGATCAAGTCAAGATTTTAAAACAATATCCTCCGATGCCTTCTGGGCTCCACAACTGTTTTGAAATGAGACAACCAAGTTTCCATACAGCCAGCTTACCAAAATACTCCCAGCGGTGCTTCTGTTTGGGGGTGCCCTGGGAAGTGGGAGAACTGGCCATTCGGCAAGGACCCCAGTAGCCATCACTGCCTTCGTCGGAGCCATCCCAGGTCGGAGTGTCTGTTGCATCAGGGAATACTGGCTCTGTACCTAAAGGGCTCCTTCAGCGGTGTTTGTTAATTTGATGTTTCACAATTCCTAGAGACTTCTACCACCCGGCTGTGAAGGTTAAACCGTGAGTTGCAGAATAGGCAAGGTTAAGAAGCCAGTTCCCTGGGGATAATCACAGAACGCTTTATCAGGCTGGAGTGGATCCTGTCATTCCTAAGCTCACGAATGGAAATTCAGGTGGAGGCAGGCAGGAGGGTGATGGCTTTGGGCTGGCAGAGAAGAGGCCTGGAATAAGCTTTTTTAAAGTGAATGTGTGAGCCCCTGGGAGGGACGGCTTTCAGAGGCCTTCAGTTGTGACAGTTCACCTCTTCGGACACCACCCACCCAGGACTCTCTCCTTAGGGGAGAAAGCCTTTCAGGGAACGGAGGAGCCGCTCAGGGAGGGGTGGAGAGGGCTGGCAAGAACCAGAGACAGCTCTGTTGGCTGAGGCTCCCCCCTATTTTATATAAAGACTGGGATTTGGACATGGAAGCACGCTCCCCAGATGGTGTTACGAACATACAGATTTAGACACATGTGGTGAACGCTTGCTTTCTCCTAGCCAGGGGCAAGCGGAAACGTTTCAAGAGTGTGGTACTCCCTGCCCGCAGAGAGGACGCCCTGGCGGTTTCTTTGGCATCCTGGGCCACAGCAGTGGGATGAAGGACGCTGCCTGGGAAAGGCGGACGGGGTCGCTAAGATGTCCCGACGGTCCCGACCCCTGGAAGCCCAAGTTGGTTACAGGGGAGAGAGGAATCTAGCAGAGGGGTGCGGGGGATAGAGCTGCAGCCCAGAGCAACCAGGGGTTTGGCGGGGTGGGGTGCGGGGCACTGAGCGGCCGCCCAGAGAAGGGGGGGGATCTTGTCTGAATTAGAGGTGTGTTAACAGAGGAACCAGGAGTCTGAACGGGGGGAGTCTGAGTCTACGCGGGTTCTGCGGCTTCTGTTGAAGAGGGTGCCCCAGACCCCAAATTCTTGGGGAAAGGGATCTTTTCTTGGGAAAAAGGTGCAAAAAAAAGGTGGGAAAGGTGTCGGGGTGCGGCGGTGGAGCAGGGCGAGCGGCGCGCGGACGCCCCCTCCCCGGCACCGCGGCGGGCGCGCAGGCTGTGGCCGGCGGACGCTCCACCCGACCCCACCCCCAGGCCGGGCCGGGCGCGGCAGTCGGGCCGCCGGGCCTCCCCTCCCCTCGCGCGGCCTCTCGCGCGCGCCCCCGCCCCGCGAGCCGGGCCGGGCCGGGCCGCGGCGCCGCGGGGAGAGCGCGGGGAGGGCGCGGCGCGCGGGCGGCGGGCATGGCGCGGGGCCGGCGCGGGCGGCGCGGGCGGCGCGGGCGGGGCGCGCTGCTGGCCTGCGCGGCGTGGACGGCGGGCTGGGTGCTGGCGGCCGCGCTGCTGCTCCGCGCGCACCCGGGCGTGCCCTCGGAGCGCTGCACCGACGAGAAGAGTCGGCGCATCCTGGCCGCGCTGGTAGGTCCCGCCGCCGCACGGCCCCGCGCCGCGCTCCCGGGGGCCTGGGGCGGCACGCCCTCCGCTGGCCCCGGGAGCGGGGGGGCGGGCGCGGCCGTGGCCCCCGGGGGCGGGGGTCCGGACACGGTGGTGGAATGCCCGGTGCGCACGACCCGTCTCTGCCCCGGAGTCTGTGGGTGCGCGGAGGTGCCTCCCTCCTTTCGCCCAAGTCGGTCCTTGGTCCCAAGATAGAGTCCTGCCCAGCGGCCCTCCTGCCGCCCCTGGGCCCGCGCTCAGCCAGGCTGCGGGTCTGCGCCGCGGCTCCCGACGGCCCCTCCGTGCCCGCGTCCCGTGTGGGGCGGCCGGGCTCGGGGCGCTGGCGACGGCGCGGCCGGTGTTGGGCTCGGGGCGGGCGGGGACCGCGCCTCTGGTCTCGGGTGCTCTCGCTCGGCGGCTCTTGTATGATTCCAACCCGGTGCGTCCCGCTGAGCCCAGCGCAGACGGCTGGCAGCCCCCTGACTCCCTGCGCCCCAACGCCGCGGCTCTCGCGGGCGCGGTGTGCGGGACCCCAGGCAGAGTGCGCTCAGGCGAGCGGACCCCCGCAGACCCCTGTCCTGGGGCCAAGACAGCGGTTTGCGAACAGGCGTGCGCCCGAGGGGTCCTAGCTGGGCTGGGCAGGCTGTTGTGAGCACTGGGCCCCAGATGCTCGTCCGTTCATTCCAAACGTTGGTGGCTCTCAGTCTCTCCGTTTGGTCCGGAAGATTATGGGGGTTAGGAAGACTTGGAAAGAGGCAGGAATCCCCGAAAGGAAAGCCGAAAAGGTGAAGACAGCCGGCAAATGCGGCCACTTTGGTTTCTGACGCAATTACTCACTTCCTAAAACAGTGACCATCTAGCTGAGCATTTGCTGTGAAAGATGATCTGTTTTCTAAGAAATCTTCAAAAGACGCATGGGAAGTTTACAGTCCAATTGCTTACATATGGGTGGGGTTTTTGAGATTGTAGGTTTTCAAATTTTCATAGCCTAAAAGTTAAAAAAAATTTTTTTAAGTGAGATTGGAAAAATTAAAGGACTGAAACATACAAACGCAAATCATATTCCTTAATTGAGTCTGGTCATGCATTGATCATGATGCGAGTGAGACCCTCATCAACGATTCCCTCCATCCTGTCTCTCAATCACCTATCTATTATCAATCATCTATGGACTGTTACACTGAATTCTATCAAGTTTTCTTTAACTTACAAAAACTGATCAACTTTCTCAGTAACCCATATAAAAATTCCTTCTACAAGGCTTATTTCACCTCCGTTTTGGGGGGACTGATTGGCTAATTTTAAGGAACAAAAAGAGGTTTTTTTCCAGGATGGAATACCTGTTTACAAAAATAATACAATAATCTTTTTCATTAAAATAAAAATGCTGTTTTCACTCATTTATCTTTGGTTAAGTGGGAAAAGGACTAATGGACATTATATGGCCTAATATAATTTAGGTAATTGCTAATCATAACTTTCGCAGCATGCCAGCTCGTAAATTAAAACCAATTCTGGTTAGAGGTTCTACCAATATATCTCTAATGGCTGCCAGCTGGGGTTGTTTTTAGTCTGACATGAAGCTGAAGATGTGGGCTCTGCTTCTGAAGGCTCCCCATCTTGCCTACTGCCCAAAGAACAATTTGAAATACTGCCTTTGTCTGTCTTCCTGAAGTTCATCTGACGTTGTCTCTGTGAACTGATTTTTCTGGAAGCATCATCTGGGCACCCCGTTCCCAGGGGCCATTATTTCTCACCTGTGCTCAGGGCTTGCCTTTCTCTCCCTCTCTCCTTGCCTCGTCCCCTTCTACCTTCTCTGTTCTGAATTTGTGGGTGTCAGCCCCACCCAGCACCCTGGCTCCCTGTGCCCCAGGACACTCTGAACTAGAACGGGGCTTGAACAGCCCCTCGGTCTCCACAACCCAGACTCTGCTGGGCCCTGGCTGCCATGCAGAGCTTGGCATGGTGGCCACCCAGGACTCAGGCTGAATCGACCCTCTGTCTCCAGGCTCCCAGGCACTTTCAATTCATTCTGCCTGGCTTTTGTCCTTAATAAAAAAACTGGCCGTTATTTTTCTGACTGCTCTCCAGACCCTCATTAGCTTTCCCTCGGAATACCAAGCACAGAAGGAGCGCACTGCCGCTGAGCCAGAGGGAGCCCTTTCCCTCCCTGGCAGAGCCCGGGAGCCCCGCACCCCCGCTGGGGTCCCAGGCTGCCAGTGTGCCAGGTGCCATTGCTGGTCTGCAGAGGAGTCTGCAGACAAAGGTGCAGAGCTCAGGGAGCTGGGAGTCCGGCTTGCCGGCTCCCGCAGGTGGCACCCCTCCTGCCCAGGGAGCTCAGCGTACTTCATGGCCCTGGAAGGGGGGAGAGTTGGAAGAGCCAACTGGAGTTGTTCCAAGGAGTTGAGCCCTGGGTCCTCTAGCTTTGGAGGTTTTTGAGTCAGACCACTGTGCTCCTCTGGACCATGGCTTTTCAGCACATCTCATAATCAAGACATCTGTAAGCCCTCGTCAACCTCTCTGTGAGGTTTCTAGAGCCCTTCTTTTCTAGTGAGCTGTGCCCCGGGCTATCCCAGGCTGCTGAGCGTCACCAAGCCTGGCTCCCCGTTCCAAGGGCAGAGCACTGCACACGGCAGCAGAGGAGGCGCGCTGTGGGTGCCCGCTGTGTTTGCTCTGGGCGGGCCCTGGGCTAAGTAGCTGTCTGCGTATTAGCTCATTTCAGCCCTTCGATAACCTGTGCTGGGGATGTGCTTATACTCTCCTCACTTCACAGATGAGCCCCGGGACGGACAGTAACTTATCCTGATTCACGCAGTCGTGGCGTCTGGAGACAGTATGCGACCCTGTGCAGTGTGATAGTAGAGACACCCTGGCAATCGGTGGCTTCCCCGATAACGAAAGCCCTGAGTAACAACTGGGTATGCTTCATCCTTCTGTAGCATATCATTTTCAAGGCATCTCAAAAATATTCCCACGGGCTCTGTTATGCAGAAGGCTTAACTCCCTTTTGGCTCTTTGGCTCTTGATGTGACTTAATCTAGTTGCCTCCAGTAGAGATTGCTTTTTCGTAGGGCGGGCTTAACTTTCTTTGCTGTGGTAGAAACCCATGGTCCCAGTGGGACTACAGCATCCAGAAAGATTTTATAGCAGGGAATGTCTCTGTTTTCCTGAGTGCTCTGGCCATGTGCGTAATGTGTATCTTCTGAGCCATCCAGGGGTCAAGAGGGGTTGCGCAGTGGACAGGCTAAATGCTCTGAGATTCTGCAATGCACAGCCGGCTGCTCAGGGAAGGAGTTCTATCGTGGGCTCTGTTGCTAACCACGCAGAGACTTCATGCTCCTTAAAAACAAAAACAAATACACAAAAGAAAACCCAGCCTTCAGGCATGACCTCTGAGACCCCATCAGCAGTTTCTCAGACTCAGTGGACAGGTTTTGTTTTTGCCTGAGAACCATGATACGAGCTGGAGAGATTCTAAGCAACAACTGCTGAGACATTCCTACCAGCACTGAGAATTCTGGGAGCGTGCATTTGTATGGATGCACATAGTCTAGAAACACAAATCCACTGTGAGTTTAAGTAATTAAAAAATGCCCATCCATGGTAAGGAGACTTTGTTTACTTGGTTGTTGTTGTTGTTTTTTTTTTTAATTTATTTTAAAATGTGATACCTGTGGATTTTGTATGTACGCACATTTGGGCACAGAAGCTTACCTGTGTTCATGCCGGCAGCACCCCCTCGTTTTCAGAGAAAAGTGACTTTGAACACTGAGCTCAAGTGAACAAACCACTTTTATTGAGTTAAAACATAGCTACTTCAGTAGGACATGCTGCTCATAAAATAATTTCACTATTTCCTCTCACATGATGGCAGTTTTTAATTAGCTCGTAAACTTGTAATTTGTCCTTTAAGTTCACTGGTGTTTAAATGTGAGGTTAATTCTTCTCCGGGTTTAGGAGGCACAGACCTGCCAAAGGATTGTGCAGACTCACTCCAGCACTGGTTGCCAGCAGAGCCCTGGCGTGTGAATTTTACGGTCTCTATAAGACAGTAAGGACCCAAAATGCCAAAAGCACATCATCCTAAAGGATGATGATGAAGAGTAACTCGGTAATAACCACACTGTGTACACCCTGTTCTAGTGTTGACTATCTCTTATGATGAACGAGGTGACAGGGGTACCAGAAGTTAGGTCATAAACCCAAGACCTCCCCTATGGTAGCTGGAGGCCCCCTGGGGTCCTGGGCACCTCGCTCCACTTTCCTGGCCTTTCTGATGCTCGACACTGCAGCCCCCGAAGTTGTCAGCCCTGCAGGAGGCACACTTCTACCCCAATGTGGTAAGCCTCAGGAAAACAGCCCCAAATAATGCTCCCCTCCAAAATTGATAGGCTCTATGCCCAATTTGATGATTATACCATTGTTCAAAATGTCTTGCAACTCCTGTTTGGAACGGCCGTCCAAATTTGCAGGGGCAAAATTGTATAGATTTTAATTTGATTTGAACTAGACTTCATCAATGCAGGATAGTTTTGTAGAAAACACTGTGCTATGGGGAGTCAGTGGGAGAGAGGATGTGCAAGTGAGTCTGGTGGATTGGGAGCTGGGGGCAGAGGGCGGAGATGAGGCTTTCCAGGGGCAGCCGGGCTGCCTCCCCACCCCCTCCCCACCCGCAGAAGGTTGATCTGGCCCTTGCAGGGTAGAAGCATTTTTGTGTGGTGGAGACATGGCATCTTCTCATAGGACAGCCCGGTTCGTGACACACGGGTGCTTGCACTAACTTTGCTCTCCAATCCCCCTGAATTGTATCTGGTTCTCTGAACACACTACTTTGCAACTCTGGCTCTTTGCACAGCTTATTTCCTGCAATGGAACTGCCCCCTTTCTCCTTCTCTGCTAGGCACACTGCAATTAGGCTTTCAAAATTGAGCTCAGGCACATCTCTCCGGGAAGAAGCCTCCCTCTCTACCCCCCCACCCCCCCACACCCCCACCACAATGACCGGGGCTGGAGAGGATGGAAGAGAAGTAGCATTCACTAAGACCATGGGTCCTCTGCACCTGTGACCTTGGTTGACCTTCACAGGTCTCCTGTGACACTGTATCAGCATCCCATGCTATAGACTTGGAAACAAGCCACCAGCCCGTACGGGGCAGAGCCAGGAGGCAAACCCAGTCTGCCCCAGAGCCAAGGCAGTGTACCTACCCTGCACAGATCATCCTCTGCTCTCATTTATGAGTTCTGAAGGCAGCCACCTCTGTAATGTGAACTCCTGAGCCTGGTACCTGTAGTTGGATAGGGGCTCAGCTCACATGCAGCTGGGTGAGGTCGGGAGAGTGGCATTATTGATTTGAAGGTGGCCACGTGTGGCTGAAGCAGCAAGGCCTTGCCCGTGGCCGTTCCCAGTCCCAGAGGAGTGGAGCAGTCTCCTTGGCCCACAGGTGTCTCTCCTGGCCAGTGGCAGGTTCGGCCGCAGAGTGTCTGTCTCCTCCCTTCTCTCCGGCTTCTCCCAGGATTCTGAAGCTCTCAGCTCAGGACTCACCCCCTCCCACCAGACTGGTTCTGTCACCTGCTTTTCTTTTCCTGTTCTGTACTTCATACAGAAGCACTTTTGATTCAATTCTAAATGTGACAACACTCCAAAGATGTTTATGGAATTGAATCAAATAATTTTGGGTATCAGACTTAAAGGAATTTTTGGACTTTATAAGGAAATTTACTAAAGAAATGTGAAACTCTGTAAATACCAGATAGCGTAGGGAAAAAACCAGCAACAAGTAAAATGAATGGCCCCTTTTTGCTCCTGGTTGTCTAGAACACTTCACCCTTCCATCCCCAGATCCCCTCTGAGAATATCCTGAGAGGTCTGGGGCAGCCTGAGTCAGCGGCTGTGACTTACAAGGGGCGATATGGAAGCGATTCTAAGCAGAGAGCGAGAGACTCAAAGGGTCCTGATCCTTTCAACACTTGTTTCTTGACCCCAAGCCATGGAATTAAGAGGATGGCATTTTACCAGCGTGTGTTGTGTTAAATTGCAAGATGAGCACAGCATCCAGTGTGTTTAACGCAGTTGTTAACACAGTTTGTTAACACAACGTCATCACGGGTGTCTGTTTTCCAAAGACAGAAAAGCAGCCCAGCTTGGCACGCCCAAGCTCTTGGGGCGGATTCATGACCACATACAGGTCTCCGTCACTTGCATCCTTGTGCTTGGCGGGTGTGACACACTCACCACCCAAGGTTGATATACTAAGATCGAAAGCCCACAAAGGAGAAAGCCCCAGACTCCGGTCAGACGGCGTGGCCTGGGTCTTTCAGGCTCTTGTCCAGCTGCTGCCTGAAATGGTCCCGAAAATCCAAATACTTGTTTTAAGAACTGGGGATATTTCTTTTTAATAAGCATTCTGGTAATACGTGCTTTGAACAATTAAACTAGAGTATTTATAAAGGTCCACCGTCCTTTATCTAACGCCTTGGGGCCAGGCATGTTTTTGAAGTCACACATTTTGGGCATTAGAAAAATAATATGGATCATATACCTTGTATTTTGCATATGAAGCAGAACCAGTAATCAAACCAATGAATAATTCTGCAGCACAATGTATGGAAATTCACACCAAGTCGAATACACGCAGACTACAATTAGCCCCACAACTCTTCAGTTGGGGTTTGGTACCACGTGAGGCTCATTGAGTCACAAAAAAGTTGTAGTTTTCAGAGCTTTGGGGATTTGGGGATTGTTCCTATATCCAGGCCTTGGAAGTCCATTGTCTGGCTTTGAGCTGCTTGTAATGCAAAGCTGACCAGCATGAAAGGACCCGAGGCTCTGAAGAGCCTCCCCTGGCCATCGTTGGAGGGCCAGTTGCTGATGCGCCTGTCTCCAGTCCCGCTGGCATGACCAGCCACGGGGCCTCCTCTGACTCCTCTTTCCGGAGGGTGCCCCTCCGAACCCCTGTCACCCTTCCAGACCTGCTGGCCTTAGACGCGGCACCACTTGGTGTCACAGACAGCGGGATGAGGGGACTGCTGGGAGGGTGGTCACTGTGGCTGGCCTGGCACCAGGTGACGCTCGCTGGGGACCCCCCTTCCGAGATCTGACTTAGCCCTTCTTGGATGGTGGCATTCAAAGCTCCCCGCGGCGACCTGCACGTGTGGCCAGCGTCGAGAACCTCTGGCCCGGACAGCCCTGTCTCTGACAGCTGACCGAACGGTCACCAGCGGGTGAAAGGCTTTTCCCAGCAGCACATGCCTGGACGGGGGCGCGGTGTGGAGGGGGAGCCCGCGTCTCGCCTCCGGTGTCCTGATTCTGAAGACCTGGGCCTGGGTGAATAATGTAATAAATACGAGACACTCGCTTAGCTCTTTCAGTGAATTACGCACTGACCCAAATAGCCTGCGTGGCTCACATTCGTGAGCTTTCTCCCAACGGCTGATCAAAGCGTCTGCGCGCAGGGACCCGCTGGCCCCTTCCCTGCCCCGCCCAGCGACGGCGCGGCCGCTCCCGCCTTGTGACCGACTGTCCCCTTCCTTGCAGTGCCGGGAGTACGAGGGCGGGGTGCTGGTGGGAGACCTCTGTGAGGACCTGTGCGTCGGGGAGAAGCTGCTGTACCAGCGCTGTCTGTACTTCGAGAGGGGCAAGAAGGTGCTGCAGGCCGACTGGCGCGGCCGGCCCATCATCCTCAAGTCCAAGGAGGAGGCCTTCTCCAGCTTCCAGCCGCTCGTGCTGCTGGAGGACGCGGCCGACGGGGGCGGCCAGGACTTCCCCGAGGCAGAGCTGCTCCTGCTGGTGGCCGGCGAGGTCAAGAACGCCCTGGGCCTGGAGCTGTCGGGCGGCAGCCTGGGGCCGCTGTGGCCGGGGAGGCGCGGCCCTCGCTGGCGGGGCCAGCTGGCCAGCCTCTGGTCCCTGCTGCAGCAGGAGGAGTTCGTCCTCTTCAGCCTGCTGCAGGACCTGAGCCGGCACGCCCTGCCCGTGCTGGGCTCCTGCGGCCACTTCTACGCCGTGGAGTACCTGGCCGCCGGCAGCCCCCGCCACCGGGCCCTCTTCCCCCTGGACGGGGCCACGGGGGCGCCCCGGGGCGGCCGGGGCCAGGCCAAGGCCATCAGCGACATGGCGCTCAGCTTCCTGGACATGGTGAGCCATTTCGAGGACGACTTCTCTCACCGCCTCCACCTCTGCGACGTCAAGCCCGAAAACTTTGCCATCAGGAGTGACTTCACGGTGAGTGGCATGGGGGAGGCGTGCGTGTCATGGCGGGCAGGGGGGGCAGAGAATCTAGGAGAGGGTTTCTGAAATGCAAGCTTCCAGCCTGGGCAAGCCGGACCTGCCGGAGCACCTCCTTTGGGGTGTGAGTGAGAGAATTTGAGGAACACAGGCCCCGTGCACCTCCCTGGAGGGGGACTGATAACGAAGACACCCACGGCGGGTTTGTCCTCCCTCATGGCTCTTCTGGTTTCTCCAAAGCGGCTGAGCAGCTTCTTAGACCTAATTAGAAAGCCAGTTCTTGCTGAGTGCAGAGAACAATGCTCAGGAGACGAGGAGCCACAGCGGATGACAAAGAAGGGTGGCCTTGGGGGCTTTGGTGCTAGTTGGAGGATGCTGTTTTCACACCGCCCATGCTGTGTCATAGTGTCAGGCTTTTCCTGATACTTCCTTCTTGGAGCGGTTCTAGTTAGTCTCCCCTCCGCGGGTGAGACTCCTAGAGGGACAGCTGGAGTTCCGGTGCCTTCTCCAGGGGAAAGCCCTACCCATGTGGAGTGTGTGTGTGGGGGGGGGGGCTGTGTCCTGGTCCTCCCCTCCCAGGCTGCAACAAGTCAGCTGGCGAATGAGGCCAACTTGACTTCGGCCACACCAGGGGGCTGCTCATTGAGGGTGCTGGCTCATGGCAGAAGGGTGCTCTTCATCCTGGTTAAAAACATAAAGGGACAAAAAGAGGGCTCTCTTACTGCCAGCCAAGGGCTTCCAGGGCAGGTAGCATAGGAATGCCTGCTTAAAACAGCCTGAAACCTAGAGAACTAAATGTGCCCCATGTGAACCCCTTCTCCAATCAAGCCTTTGTCACTGTGAGGAGCACCGTGGCAACTTGCCCAAACTTCTTTGTCCTAATGCCCTCCTTGTCCCTGGCTGCCCCAGAGGGATTGATAAGCTGGGCGTGGCTCCACGTGTGGAAGGGAAAGAGCCGAGAGGTTCCAGAAGGTTCTGGGAGGCTTCTGGAGGGTCTGCACTCTGGGTGGTGAGCTCTGGAGGCGTTCGGCTCCGTCTGCAATATCCTGAGCTCCACGAGACCTCTAGACATGGTCTGAGCTGTGAAGGGGAGGGACACCCCAGAAATCTGCCAGCATATTTTTTGGAGGTGAAATCCTGGCCAAGCTTCCCTAATTCATGAGCAGAAAGTTTATGTAATGGACATGAAGGACCACAGTTCTCTTTCTCAGAGAAGTCCTGGGAAACCAGGCACCCCACGGCCCTGGGAAAGGAGGTGTGGCGCGTCCACTCACACCACTGGCTTTGGCGGTTATGGGGCCAGTGCTCATCTGACACCCGAGTCTTCATCCAGCAAGTATTACGGAGTGTCAGCAAGCGGAACCCCACAGGAGCGGTAACACTCGAGGGAATTGCGACGCTATCTGGGCTGGGTTCCCAGGAAAGGCTGTAGGAAGGAGGCGGAGCTGACCGGTCTTCCCCGGGGAAAGGGAAACATGGCACGTTGCTGGATTGTGCACTGCACTAGAGTTGTGCCTTCCAGCATCTTGTGCACGATAGGCACGAAATATTTGTTCAATGAAATAATGGGCTGCACTTTTTGACCTAGTCCCAGACTGCGCCCTGTGGACTATGCTGGGGCACACAGGCCCATGCCTCTGCCTGAGCTCTTCTCCTCTTCTTGGGGGAGAACGGGGAGGGAGGACAGAGGGTCCCCCTTGGCTAACCCTGGCATTACTGACCTCCTTACAGACCCTGAGTTCGTTAACTTTACCTATGATTTCACAACTTTAAATGAGACCCAGCGGTGTCAGCATCACCAGAGAACTTGTTAGAAATTCTGATTTTCTGCCTTCCCCCCAAGACCTGCTGGGTCCGACACTCTGGGGGTGGGACGTGGTGACTTGCAGTCATTCCCTCTCTCCGGGGCCCCACTTATAGGTCCTGAGAATTCCTCTAGCGGTTGCACAGGAACAACTGGGAAACACCATTGTTTCACGCCTCCAGACCATTGCTAGCAAGTGCTCCTTTGAAACAGATGTGTGTCCTACTTGGGAGCCACACTGTTCAGTGGGGAATGAAACAGTTCTCAACCCTTTCTAGTCTGATGCTGGGATGAAGTTTGATGAAGATGCGAGTTACGTCATTCCATTCAGGAAGAGTGTTAGGATTCTCCTGATACGATTAAAGAAGCCGTATGCAGGTCTTTCTGCTGGCTTGGTTGCTGTTCTTATTTTAGGTGTGTGGAGTTAGGCTTACAATAGCTGTAATCTATTCTGCACTATACACTAAAAATTAAAAAATAAATCTGGCTCTCCCTGGGAGACGAGAAGGGAACAATCAGGAACGGGAGCGAGAAGTTGCAAGGACCTGAAAGTGTATGTAGGAGCCCAGGGGAGGCTGGGGAGATTGCCAGAAAGTAGAGAAAGGAGGGAGGCCCTCTGGTCCTGATAATAAATTATGAAGACAATAGATTCATGAGCACAGCCTAATATATTTTTAGTGTATTAGCTAGGTTAAATAGCGAAATTAGCTATTTCTTTTGGCTAAATAATGAGATAGGAAAAATTGATTAAAATTGTAATTTCTGTTTGCCGCACCTGAATTAGTAATTAGGCAAAGCTCTTAAGTAGGGAAAAGTTCCCTGTTCTTTATGTTCATTATTCTCCATATATTTTGAAAGAAACTATTTTCCCTCTTCTGTTTTACTTAATCATCCCCCAAGGAAGTTTACTGCCTCTGGGATCACTCCTGAGTGAACAACAAAAGCCCAAACCAGGGAATGTAGCTTCCAACACCGCGAGTTGCAGAGGAAATGGACCCCAGCCAGTGAGGCCTTGTTGAGATGCTACCAAGGGCAGAAGGAAGGGCTCGTGTTCGGAGGATGGCCTGTGAAGGCTTGTGAGATGCCACAGACTCCATCAAATTCATCAAGTCTTCCTAGAGCTTTTTTAATACCTTGAAGCTATGAACTGCTTGATTTGGGCAGACTCCAGGTTTTATCAAGTTTGAGATCATCTTTTTTTATTTTTTAAATTCAGGTGGTGGTGGAAAATCTGCATAATGTAGATGTTCTTCCTCTTTTCTGGTTTGAAGCCTATTTGGTTTGAAGCCAAGAAGACAAATCCGAAATTGCAGGGGGCCAATTGTGGGCTCCTGCTGACGGCGACATTTAGTATCTGGTGCTGTTGGATCAGGGTCCATGTGCATCAGCCCTAATGCGAGAGGGCTGATGCTGCCTTTCCCAGCCACACGTCCATCCAAGCATCAGTAGGAAGCCAGTTGACTCGGGTCACAGATATGCCATAAGTAGACAGCGTAGGTCATGCCCACCCAATTTCACCATCATACCCACAGACCTGCCCCGGGAGTTCGGTTTCTTCGTTGTTGATATTCATGGGGATAAACTATCTGGGTCTCACGGCATTTATAATGCTGGTCCCTAAAAGTCAGAGGCCAAAGTGATACAGCAATGGGAGGGGAATTCATTTATTTTTAAGACATTTCAGAGAAGCTGCTTTTTTTTTTTTTTAAAGGTTTGTTTATTCATTTGAGAGAGAGAGAGTATGGGGGGAAGGGCAGAGGGAGAGAGAATCCTCAAGCAGACTGTGCACTGAGTGTGGAGCCGGACCCAGGGCTCGATCCCAGGACCCCGAGATCACAACCTGACCAAGCGTCGGACCCTTAACTGACCGAGCCACCCAGGCAACCCTCAGAGATCCTACTTTTAAAGCTGAAAAAGTGTTTAAAGTTGAAAAATGATACTTCTAGTTATAGTTCCAAATCCTAAGCTTTCGCCAGTGACAGCAAAGGTCCTTTTTGCAGCGAAAGCCTCGCAATATCGTCAATGCCTGGTGCTTGTGTGAATAAAGCAGGCGCCCCCCAGCACAGCCTGGCTCCTCTTCCCGGCAGGCAGAGTTCTGTGATCCCACAACCAGCAGGCACCTGCACTGCAAACGGGGAACGGAGGTGCCCCGGCTGCCGGGCCGCTGAGCCCCGGTGTCCTCTGATGGCCACGTGCTGTGTTGGTTACAGGTGGTGGCCATCGACGTGGACATGGCCTTTTTTGAACCTAAAATGAGGGAAATTCTCGAGCAGAACTGCACAGGAGATGAAGACTGCAATTTCTTCGACTGTTTCTCAAAGTGTGATTTGCGCGTCAACAAGTGTGGAGCAGAAAGAGTTAACAGTAACCTGCAGGTAGGTGGCTGCCCCCGTGGGCGGGGGGACCATCGTTCTCTGGGGCCGCCGCTGCCCTCTGCACGGCGCACCCCCTCATGTGGCCCAGGTCACCCCTTCCATGCCACCTGGGCTCGATGTGCTCAGTGGGGACAGGGACAGCGGGAAGCAGTGTCGTCTGGCCCATGGGGTTGTCGGTCAAATGACCCCATGGGGGTCTCCTGGATGGAGCAGCCAGCAGACCCCATTGCTGGGCTTCCCATCTCCTCCTAATGTATTCCTTTTCTAACTTAAAATTTTACTCAAAAAAAAAAAAAAAAAAAAAAAACCCTGCCCCAATTGACAGAGCAAAGGAATAGAATTTTTTAAAAAATTTCAGAGCTAGACGTAACGACAGGTAGCTCTCGGGCCGGCAGAAGGTAGCTGGGGTATGCAGGAATGGCACCCGTCAGCTGGGTAGCTCCTATTTCACCCCGGACTAAACTGAATTCCAGAGGGCTCAAGTATTTACCCCCCCCCCAAAAAAATAGGATACTAAATGTACCAGAGAAAAACTGGGAGAGTTTAAAATACTACCCGAGAGTAATGAAGGCCTTTCTGAGTATGGAACACAGCTCAGAGGCCATAGGAAGAACACGTGACAGATTTCACTATCTTGAAAAAAATCCATATAGTGGAAACAAAACAAAACAAAATCCCCCCAAATATGAGCAAAATTTAACAGTTAAATGAGAAAATGGGCAAACTGTTTGGTAATGCTCGTACAGATCAGGAGAGCAGGGGACAAAGGGGGTCCTCACGCACCAGCTGCTGCCTAAGGCTCAGAGAGTGTCCCCCAAGATTGTCCTTCCCCACTGGAGCTTCTTTGCCGTGGCTACTCCAAGTGCCAGGGGCAGCGTCCAGGGACGGGTCAGTGGGAGCTGGGGCACACGTGAAGCCCAGTCTCCAGCCTCAGTAAGGAACACCGGAAGATTTCCTTCTCCCTCAGGTCCATGGAGGCTTGGTTCCCAGGAGCGCGCCTCAATAAATCCCTGCCTGCACACCTCCCTCTTAGAGTCCGCTCTCCAGGGAGCCAACCAAAGCAAGGGGATGTCCTTACGATATAGAGTATCTGCAAATTAATATGAAAAAGGCCAACAATCTGATGGAAATGTGAACAAAGGATATCAACTTGACGATTCACTGGAAAGGAAGCACAAATAACTTTCACCCTGACTGCTAAGAGCAATGCAAATTAAACCATCAGTTGGCAAAAATGAAAGACAGCACAGATCCTGGTGGAGCAGTGGGGAGACAAGTGTTCTCATCATACATTGCTGTGAGAGTGTATCTCAGGACAACTTTCATGGGGTCGATTGGGCAATAGATACTAAAACAAAAAATGCACATACCTCTAGGGCCAGAAATTTCTAGTCTAGAAATTAAGTCACATGTGCAAAGTGAAAATGACATACATGAAAGATATTTCTTGCAGCATTGTTCATAATAGCAAAAGTTAGTAAAAAGCCTCAATTTCCAGCAATAGGGAATAGTTAAATAATCTATGATCTACCCACACATTTGAGGTGCAGCTATGAAAGCAACAGGAAATCCTTGTAAGAATCGACATGGGAGGCTTTCCCTGGTATTCGGTTAAATGGGAATGGAAGCTGAAGAACAGTGTGCAAAAGCCTGCCTTTTGTGCAAAGTGGAAGGGAAAGGAGATGCGTGTACATGTACTCTGTCTAGAAGGACATTCAAGGAAGGGATGGCCTCCCAGAGCCAGGAGCAGAGTGTCTGATGGTCAGGAGCAGCATGGAGACCTAGGACTTACCTGTGGTCTGTCCCTGGGGACATTGAACAATTTTGCACATGGATTATCAATTCAAAACAGAACTAAGGTCATTTGTTTTTAAAAAGAATCCTCACCCTTGCAGGGAGGGGGAAACAGAAGTTAGTTGCTTATCTTCTACGAAAAGTAGCTTTAAAACACTGAGGCCTCTGCTTAGTGAGCCCAAGACAGTGCAACACAGAAAAGTAAAGCCCATTAATTCCGCAGCTCTGGGAGCAGCCCTGGGAAAGCTGTGGGAACAGGCCACGCGTTTAGGTGGAGGATTTAAGGAGATCTGCAGATTCAGGGGAGTTTTGCACCCTGTTAGAATTCTAGGCTGCGAGATGGTGGCTTAATTTTTCACTTCTGCTCCTGAAATAAAAGGGTTCAAAGTCCCTTCCAGGACAGTCTTTTCTCCAGGTGTCTCAACATGCGATCATGTTTGCCCACGACTTCTCCCCACACGTCACTGGACCCTCGGGACAACGCTGCCCGGCGGTCATCGCGAGTTACGGTGACCGGCTTATGGCCGAGCAAGTCCTCAGCGACGCGGTGACTCGGCTCAGGGGCCACTCCTTCCGCGGCAGCGGCTGCCCAGCGCTCTCTGCTCCCCTCTGTCTTCAGAGGGTATTCAGTGAGCCGGGCCCTCCCCGTCTGCTCCAGGGCTGGATGCGGGACTCCATTCCTGGTGCTGAGTGGTTCAGGTTCTGGGAGGGAAGGCACCTTTGGGACTGGAGCATCCCCGGCGCTGGGGGTTTGCAGCCCTGCACTAACCGCCCCGTCTGCCGTCCCTCAGGTCATCTGTGACAAGATATTCCGCCACTGGTTCTCCTCGAGTCTCTGGAGCTCGGCCCTATCCTTCCCGCTGCAGCGGCAGTTGCGGGAGGCGGTGCAGGAGTGCGCGGACCCCCGGCGCACCGCGCGCAGCCCCCCGAGAGCAGCCCCCGACGTGTTCTGGAAGCTCCGGCGCCTCCTCCGAGCCACGCAGAGGGAACTGCAGGAGGCAGAGAAGTAGCCGCCGCTGTGGCCTTGGGCGGGTCCCCTCGGGTTGGGTGTTGTGGGGGAGACGTTCCTCTGGGCCAGGGAATCCAGGGCTGTGCTCTGTGCAGTGGTTTTCTGTGGGGGGGGTCCCTTGGAGCGCCGTGAACCCGCTGGTCAGCTTCTGTCTGGAGCAAGGTTTCCATGAAATTGGGTGTAAAGCGAAGGGCCAGTGAGCGAGGGAGGGGCAGGGCTCTGCGTCTGTGTCCCTACGACTGTTGGCTTGCAGGGGGAGAGCGGAGGGTCTCCGGCGGGCTGACCCTGGGATTGCAGCCCTTCAGTAGCCTTGGCTCTGAGCCAACTGGCCGGGGGCAAAGCTGGCTCAGGAAAGGGAAAATGTTCCTTTTCATTTAGACCAAAATGGAAGCAAGTGTTTTTGTTTATCATGGAGATAATGCAACATGTAACTACAACACAGTGGTGCTCTTATTGCTGAAAAGGAGCAGTTTTATCCCTTTCCCCTGTGTTTGACCACCCCGTCTCTCTCTCTCTCTCTCTCTCTCTCACACACACACACACACACACACACACAGGAGCACCCCTTTCCCATCCCACCTGGAGAATTCCATGGAACAGCAGAGACTCCTAAACTATCTGTGGTAGTTTTTGTTTTTTAAACACTTTCAAACCCTTGCAAAACCATGCTTTTATATAATACAATCAACAAACACTGCTGTCAGCATTTAATATTTTTAATGTGGCAAGTGAGATCGTCTCTTGCTGATCTGATTGAGCAGAGTAGAGAAAACTCTCCCGAGCTGTGTGCTCAGAGGAGGAAGTCCAGCAGGTTCAGGTTCCTCCTTTTTCAGCTTTCCCAAATTAATGCAAGTGGTGCTTCATTCATCTCTAGTCCCGCGTCACAAGCCGGTTTTTACCATGTTTCTTGATAAATCATGGTTAAAATTATCTTTTGATCAAGTGATTCCAGATTGTAAGCTGTTGGGTTATAGTTGAGACACGTTGTATCTGCCCAGAAATTGTAGGCGCTACTGAGCATGTGATAAAAACCTGTCAAGAAGGGGTTGGACAGCCCCCTAATGTCACATGGCTACAGACATTTCTAAACCATCCCAGTTCTCATCTCCTCAGAGGGAGGGGAACAAGCAGTTCACAGATGTGCCATCTCCAAGAAGTCCTCCAAGCCTGCCTTGGTACCACGCTCAACACCAGCCTGCCAGACGCCCATGATGAATGCCCAGGATGTTAAATTATTGGAAGAGCAGCTATTTTTTTTTTTTAAGATTTTATTTATTTATTTGAGAGAGAGAATGAGAGACAGCACAAGAGGGAAGAGGGTCAGAGGGAGAAGCAGACCTCCTGCTGAGCAGGGAGCCCGATGCGGGACTCGATCCCGGGACTCCAGGATCATGACCTGAGCCGAAGGCAGTCGCTTAACCAACTGAGCCAGCCAGGCGCCCTTTTTTTTTTTTTTTTTTAACTTTAATTTGGAAGCTGTTCTTTGAGCAGCTGGGGGTGAGGGAGTTTGGCTGGAATTTTCGGAAGCCAAGGACCCAATAAAGGACCCACGGGCACTCGCAGTGGGTGGACAAATGCCACTCTGCATGGTAACACAGGGACATTGTCCCAGCTTTCGGACTCTGGAAGCTGTGCAGAAGTCTTCGATCCTGATGTTGACCCCGGCCCTGCGCATGTGTCTTTCCTGGGGAGGGTACTTCATTCTGCCGCAACGTGCTGAGGCCGAGCCTCCGGAGAAATCCTACGGGAGGATGTGAACCGCAGAGCAGACGCCTTTGCTGGGGTCCCCGCTTTGAGTTTCTTGATGGGGCCACCGACACAGTCTGGAGTCCCACGAACTTTGCTTCCTGTCTCTAGGAGACGTCTCCGAGCTTCGGAACATGCCCGCCCTTCCCTCTGCTTCCTCGGGAGGTGCGCTGGGCCCGCCTGCATCTCTTGCCGCTCCTGCAGGTGCCCGCATCCCCAGCGTTTGCGCGGCATGAGCGCTGGGGTCGGGCCATCTGAAATTTTCTCTGAGTAACACCGTTTACCAGTGTTGTGACATCGGGCAGGGTAGTTCACCGCTCTCTGCCTCAATTTCCCCATCTGAATGCATTAAAGGTTGGAATCCCTTGTCTCGGGGGTGCCGCGGACTGAATGAGGCCATGCATGGGAGTGTGGGCGCGCCTCCAGGGCTCTGTAACCCCTAGTTATTTTCAGCCACGTGAAGCCACAAGGCTGGCTTTGAGGGGGGGATATAATGCGTCCTGCTTCTCTCCCCACCTTCTCCCTGTCTCCTTGCTCTGCAAAGGCTCCTCCCCCTCTTGGTCTAACTATCTTTGAGCTGAGAGGACAGCCCCTAGGTCCTGGTCACACAGGGTTGATCCTAACCCAGGGCTTCTCGGCCAAGGGGGCCTGGGCCCTGCCTCATGTTCACGGGACCCAGAACCTCAGGTGGGCCCAGGGCAGTGACCTGTCCTTTCATAAAGGCCATCAGCAGACGCTGATGCACATCACATGTGTGGAGGCTGGTCGAGAGCTTCTGCTGTGGACTGTGCCCCACCCGGAGTTCTTGCGCTGAAACCGAATTCCCTGGGGTGCTGGTGCTGGGAGGCAGGGCCTGTGGGAGATGATTAGGCCATGAGGGGGGAGCTCGAGTCATGGGATTAGCGGCCTTACAAGAAGACATCCCAGAGGCCTAGGCTCCGGGCCCTCCCCTCCCCCCTTCCCCCTTCTTCCTGTCTGTCCCGTGGGTCTCCCTCGCTCTGCCCCGTGGACACAGTGAGAAGGCAGCCACTGCGAACCCCGAACAGAGCTCCCACCAGGAACCGAACCGGCCTGCCCCTTGATTCTGGACGTTGAGCTCCCACAGGCGTGAGAAACAGATGTGTGTTGTTCCTAAGACACCCAGGCTGGGGCATTTTGTTAGGGTCCCAGCTCTTGTTGCTGCTGAAAGCATTCTCAGCAGGGCAGGTGTGCCTGCCGGCGAGCCCTCCAGGCCGGCAGCTGAACAAAGCCAGGCTGCCGCGGTCGCTGCCTCCCGCCCAACCCCGGGCCACCCACGGTGCCTCCTGAGCAGGGCCGGCAGCAGCTCGCTTGCGGTCAGCATCACTGGCCGTGAAGAAAAGAGCTAGTTGCTCCCAGTCAATCTGAGCACGACGGGAGGGTTTGCAAGCAGGAACAGCTCCCCCCGCCTGCTTGGCCCCCCAAGAAGACAGCACATGACACAGCCAGCTAGCACCCCGGCCACGCATGTTGGGAGGCTCTGACCCTGCAGAGGCCCCCATGTGTGTACGCGCCTTCTCGCGAAGGGTCTGTTTGCTCCCGATGCCCTGAGCTGGTTAGTGCTTTAAGAGGGCGTTTCAGCCCAGCCGGGGCTGCAGGCAGGGACCGGGGAGGTGCCGCCCTCAGCTTCAAAACCACAGTGGGGCACTGGGGCTCGGCCCCAGCCTGTTTCTCTGTCCTCTCTTTCCCTGTGATAGAAACAGGAGAGGGGCAACGTGCTCCGTAGCTGTCTATCAAGCAAGACTCGGGACAAATGAGCAGTTCTGATTTTTAAAATTGATGAACACGAAAAGTACACAGTTGTAGCATTTACGGAGTCATTTTGTGGGAAGAAGCGCACTTACTGGGAATTACAACCGCCTTGGCAAGTGCAAGGTGTTTGGTCTGCACAGTTCTGGGTAACAATGAAACGAAACATGTTTAGAGAACTTTCTGGAGAAAAGCACCGTGAGAAACACCCCAGTCTTCCCCTTTATGTTGTTCCAAAGCAGCTTGTCATCTGGGTAGGTTTTCACAAGAGTGAATTTTCTCATAGCCCCCTTTAATTATTTTCTCTCTGTAGCCCAGCTTCCTTTTATTGCTGTGTGTCAGGACAAGCGGACTGACGGGCTTTTGAATTGAAGTCAGCTGTGCTTATGGAAGGCTCCTGAGCTTGGTTAGGGTTCTGCTTCTCATGCGAGCTGGTTGTATAACTCTAGGAGGCAATTACTGTCTGCCTCCATCTTCTGTCTTGCGAAATGGAATATAAATGTTCTCCAGGGAAATGAATGAGATAAATAGGCTAAAAGAGTCGGAACTTGGCAGGGGTTAATGCACAGATCAAAAGTTTCCTTCTGAAATGCAGGATTTTCATCCACATTAGGCATTTAAATCAGCCCCATCGTGGCCCATGCTGCTGAAGGGAGCTCCCTAAGAAGAAGGGGGCTGGTGGGGTCTGCGGGACGTGGCCCTGTATGGGGCGGGGACCAGAGCAGAGAGCAGGGAGGCATTCCAAGATAGGCATCGAAGGCACCTCGACTTATTTGTAACTCCCCAAAGGCAGTTTTTCTCTCATCTTTTCAGTCTACCACTGAAGGAACGCCGCCTCTTGGGTCAAGACCAACGTGCCTGGCCCATAGAAAACACACTGCTCTGGTTTTCCAGTAGCGATGATGAGGGACTTGGAGGCTCTCGTGCCCTCCGGTCTGTGCTTCTGACGGGGGCAGCCCATGGGAACTCTGGAAGCGTTGCCTTTCTGGAGAGGACCTGGCTGGCCTGGCTGAGATCTGGCCACCGCCTCACCTTCCCTGAAACCAAGTCCTCAAGGTGCCGCCCCCAGTCTTCGGGGAGCCTGAGAGCGCAGGTCAGGCTCTATCCATCGGCAGGGCTCCGGAGACTCCAGCTCACCTGCTGGAAGGCAGGCTATTAATCCCAAACCCTCCATTCTTCAGACTCGCTCAGCACGTCCACCCTCCATTCTTCGCTGCTGTTTTCCTTCCTCTTAATCCATCTCGCATTTATCTCCCCAGCTCCCCGACATGCCTTTGAAGGCAGGGAGATGAATCTGGGCCATGCCCTGGGGAGTGCACTGAAGAAGGGTTGCATCATTCTGCTGCAAAATCCCCCAAATCAGTGCTGTTGGTCAATGCTTCTACTCACTATACAAACTCTTGCTTAACTTCTTCACTGGCCACGTTTTTAATGTTGGCATTTTCTCTGAAAATATTGGGCTGAAACACCTGGAGCCCTGGAGCCCCGCATTCTCCATCTGCGTGTGGATGGGGGGGCCTCACTCTGGCCGCAGACTCTCCCAGGCACGGGGCAAGCCGGCACCCTCTCTGTGTGGGGGCACGGGGGTTGTGGGGGGCCTCTGTGTGTGAGGGGCTGTGGTCACCTCGGGGGAGGGGGAATCCCTCAAGCCCAGAGCGTTTCTCACGGAAGGCCAAGGCCACCGCCTGCAGCAGCTGAGGGTTCGGATGGGCCTCCAGAGTCTCCCTTTCCTGCGAGCGTCTCGTTCTGAGTGTGTTAATGCGTAGGCTTTCATTTGGGGAAGGCAAACTATGAGGCTTTTAAAAGCAATTCTGATTTATTGTGGTGCTTTAGCCCTCGGTTTGCAGAACTCTATGCACCTGGGACCATGCCTCACACCCACATGGTTTCCTACAACGGGGCCGATTTCTACAGCAAGGGTTGAGCAAAAAGAGGCAAAGAGCAAAAGAAATGGAGCTTGTACTTGAAGAGTAAAGTTGATGCGATCCAAGTTTCTTCCCCTGTGGCACAATATACCCAAGATTTACCATTTTAAGTGTGCAATTCAGTGGCATTATGCACATTCACCATGTTGTATGGCCGTCGCCACTATCCAGCTCCAGACCTTTGGTATCATCCCAAACGGACTCTCTGGACCCACTAAACACTCCCTCCCTCCCCCAGCCTCTGGTGACCAGCACCGCTTCCTGTCTCTGCGGACCTGCCTATGCTAGGGACCTTGCAGAAGTGGACTCCCACACTTTTGTCTTTTTGTGTCTGGCGTACTTCACTGGGCATAATGGCCTCGAGGTTCATCCATGTTGTAGCGTGTCAGGATTCTCTTTTGATGGCGCCATAGTTTTCCACTGTGGGGATGCACCACGACCCCACAGATTTTTGTTTCCAGATTCACTTCACCGGGCTTGGGATCGCAGATCCAAGTTGAAGTTTGATTCCACTGTGGGCCCAGTGCATGTGAGCTAGGGCAAGTCCCCGAGCCTGTGCTGTCAACCCAGCGTAATAATCCCAGCTCGGCGTCGGGCAAGGTGGAAGAACAAGATCACAAAGGGTTCTCCCTGCTCCCCTTCCAGAACCCCAAGCTCAGTGCAGGCACACTTTGTCTTATCGCACTTCGCGGATGGTGCATTTTTTTACAAACTGAAGGTTTGTGGCCACCCCTGCAGCGAGCCAAGCTCTTGGTACCATTTTTCCAAAAGCATTTGCTCACTTCCTGTCTCTGTGTCACATTTTGGTAATTCTCTCAATATTTCAAAATTTTTTATTATTATATTTGTTACGGTGACCTGTGACCAGTGCTTACCACCCACTGAAAACTCAGATGATGGTTAGCATTTTTTAGCAATAAAATACATTTTTTAAAGATTTTATTTATCTATTTGAGAGAGAGAGAGAATGAGAGGGGGGAGGGTCAGAGGGAGAAGCAGACTCCCTGCTGAGCAGGGAGCCTGATGTGGACTCGATCCCGGGACTCCAGGATCATGACCTGAGCCGAAGGCAGATGCTTAACCAACTGAGCCACCCAGGCACCCAGCAATAAAATATTTTTAAATTAAGGTAGGTACGTTGTATTTTTAGACAAAATGCTATTGCACACTTACTAGACTGTAGAATAGTGTTAATGTAAGTCTTACATGTACTTGGAAACCCCAAAATTCATTTGACCTGCTTCACTGTGATATTCGCTTGATTGCCGTGGTCTGGAACCCAACCGGCAAGATCTCCAAGGTGGGCCTCTAGTTTGTCCTGGGGTTTCCCACTGTCCTCACACCTGTGGTAGAACAAGGCAACATATGGAAAAGCTCTAATTTCCACTTCGCACAGGTACGCGGGCCTTCATCTTTGAAGATGAGGATGGAGGAGAGGCCGACCCTGGGCCTGGGGGCCTGAGGGTGTGGCTGGGGGCCTGAGGGTTGAAGCCTTTGGGGGTCCCTGCCAGGTCTGACTGTGTGCAAACCCACGGAGCCAATTCAGGACGAGACCCCTGGGCGCCTGGACCTGGGGCGGGGTGGGTGGAGAAAGGAGCGAGTGCTTGAGCCACACGGAGTGGGAAATGCATGGGATTTGGTGGCTGGCTTGGTCAGGGCTGAGGGCAGTGTTTGGGGACACCTATGGAGCTGGGGGAGGGTCCTGGGGTCCACGATGAGCAGCTGGTGGCCGTGCTCGAGGGGCTGGAAGACTGACCTTGGTGGGCTGAGTGCATCCAGGCCAAGTGGATACACGCGGCGAGCAAAAGGC